AAATCGTTCTTAGATTAATTATTTCATTTAAAAGTTTTTCATTATCAACAATTTCCTTGATGGTGACTATAGTTGATGGCTACAAACACGTGTTGCACAATCTACTTTCGCTCGACAATAATATTTATTTTTGTAATAGTCGCCTCGCAGTTAGTTTTCGTTCAATGTTTTTTTTTTTTTTCACGGACTAGTTTTTATTCAATGTTGACGTTGATGAATTCTTTCAATTGATGTTACGATAGCAATTTCTTTTAATCAAATTTTCAATAGTCAGTCGTACAATAGAGTTATTTAATTATTTAGAGTGTTAAATTTGAAACTGATTAGATACAAATATACATAACCAACTTAAATATTATTTATGAATTTTATTATAATATACCGATATCATTTGGTATCTTTCAAGAAAATAAAGGATTTTCCTATAAAGAAAAGAAAGAAATAGAGAAATTATAGATGCTTTTTAGGCTAAGATATTTAATAGTAAATGAAATCAAAATCTTCTTAAAATAAAAAAGGACGTCTCTAGCCTCTATTGACACGCTTTTTTTTATACTCCCTTTAAAAATACACCCACTTAATTTTAAAGTAATTGAATTTATTTGTTTACACTCTTTTTTTTAAATACCCCTATTTTCATAAGATTATTAGTTCTTTACAACTTTATTTTCTTTTCACACCCACCCTTTCATTTGAATTCCTTACTTTAATATTATCATTTATTTATCTCTCTATTTTTTACGCTTTTTATTTTTAAATTTTTTAAGCTGAAACTTTAGGCATCAAACGTTGTTCCCTACATATAGTAAATAAAATAAAATTTACTATCAACTTTTTTAGAAAAATAAAGGACATTTACTATAGAAAGTTTGCTATTACACTTTTAAATAGCAATGTTAGAAAATGTAAATTTACTATTAAAAAATTTCTACATTAAATGTCTTTTGTTTTTCTAAAAGATTTAGTGGTGATTTTTTTTATGAGAAAATCTTCATGCTTAAAGCTTCAATAACAACAATAAAAAAAAAGAAAAAGAAATGAGAATACTAAAGTAGAGAAATAAAATGGTGGATGTGAAAAGAAAAATAAAGTTGTCAAGAATTAATAATCTGATGAAAATAATCAGATGAAAAATGGTGAATAAAAAAGAAAGTGTGAATATAGAACTACCCTAAAAAAAATTACAGAATGTGATATATATTTGATAAAAAAATGCTACTGGGCTAACAAGAACTATAGAAGATTTGATTGACAGACTTATACAATATGGAACTTCTAACATTTTTTTTTTAATTTTTGGCCTTGAAATTTCTCAAAATATTTTGTTGTGTCCCATATTTTATAACCAAAATTATAACTTTTACGTACTTAATAATAATTGAAATATATTGTAAAGGAAAACTATAAATGCCTCGTTTATTTCACCGATTTGAGTTTTATTACAGTAAAAAATTCTTAAAAACAATCACATCTAATTTTTTGTTACAATAAAAAAAGTCTCACATAAAGACACATCTCAACTTGAATTAAAAATTTGAATTAGCGAACTAAACGAACCCAAAATGTCTTCAACTCAATGATTTAAATATATTATCCATTCCAAAAAAAAAACAAAAAAAACAATTGTTATATACGACTAGGTTTCACAATCCTCTACTTTGACAAAAAATATCTTGCTCCGTCATTGCTAACGGTTTCAAAGAACACCCTGTCTGCAAATATATATATATATATATATATATATATTTCAATAACGTACAAAAATGAAATCACACTAGTATGACCAGAGAAGGGCCCAAGAGTTTCCAAGTCACCGGTCAATTCTCAAATAGATGAACCAGACGTAAGAAGGAGGTTTGCCGTGTAGCTCACGTCATCTTCCAATCCGGCAATGACCTTTGCATTTTTTATGGTATGTTTCATGTTCTTAAATTCATTCAAGTTGGGAATACATTTTCATTCAGGCCCCGTTTATTTCGCTGATTCAAATTTAGAATTCGAATTTTGCTACAGTAAAAAGCTCTCACAAACAATCACATCTAACTTTTTTACTACAGTAAAAAAACTCTCACATAAAATCACATCTCAACTCGAATTAAAAACTCGAATCAGCGAACTAAACGGGCCCTAAAATATACACACACACAAAAAAATAATAATAATAAAAAAAATTCAAGTTGTTGATGGGTGACTTGGTCCCAAAGACAAACAACGAATAGTTGCCTTCACGAGATTCCCATTATGCCCATTTGGTTTCCTTCAATTGACTACACGTTTGTCATGAAAACTGTTCACGTAGGAAAAATTAGTTATAAATTGGTCGGTTGTAAGTCCTATGTTTGATCTTCCAACCAATTTTAAATTGGATTTATAAGTCTAGTTTGGAGGCATGTGATCGAAGCCCAAAGATAGGTGGGAATTAATTTTAAAAATGGACTTTTGGATGATATACAGTAGTTAGGTTAGGATGGATGGCATCTCAATCCATTCGTTAAGTTTTGTACATTGTTAATATCTAAGTTGTAAAAGACAGGTAGAAGGTGAAACACTTCATTATTCTATTAGGTATTGCAACATGATAATTCACCCGTAAAATACGATATGGGGTAATATACCCATGTGGGTTTGTAATATAGTGTTTGTATTTTTATGTGTACGTGTCTATAAATAGAATTTTCATTACTATTTTTTTAAAATTTAATTTCATTAATACTTTCTTTTTTTTTTATTTTTTGCTTAAACATCTCCAAAAAAAAATGGTGTAAGGTTTTTCTTAAGGAGACATTTCATAATCATGCAGGTCAATATGTGTTAACTCTCATATATATATATATACAAAAAAAAAAAATATATAGAAATTGTCATCCCCATAACCTCTAATTTTCGACTTTATTAGTCGGGTACATTCATGCTCCCATAATTTATTGGGTGATACTATATTTAAAAAAGAAAAAAAATCGTTTGGACACCTCGAGAATATTTATTTTAGGAAATGTCCTTTACACCTTTTAAGTCTAAAAACATATTTAATAGAGCATATTTAAAACAATACTAAAACTGAAATCGTTTACGACTTCCTCTTTATTTCTATTTTCTTTATATTTTTCATCTTCGATAATGTTTTTAGGCTGAAAGAACAAGAAGACGTTAAGTACCCAATCCAAATAACATTTTTTAAAATTTTTTTTATAGGACTACAAGTATCCGCAATAGAATTTTTGAAACAATTAAAATTCCGATCTTATAAAATCAAATACTACAATGGGTCAAAATGTTAGAATGTCAAAACGTAAAAATCTTATATAGATCTACAACATTTGTTCATGTGTCGATTGGTTGGGGGACTCGGTAAGGTTCTGGGGAAGGACCGCAGGGGGATCCCCCAACTCCGTTTATGCTTCTTTTTAGTTTTAGGTTAGAATGTAGGTGGTTTTGTGGTAAGGGGTAACATTCTTCGATCTTATTATGCTTCGTTGCAATCTTTATATAAATCTATCTTAATGGAACATAGCACGAATTAATAAGACGATTTCTAACTACCTTTTACTTTCTTTTCTCTTTTCGTCTCCATCTAAAATTCCAACAATACTTTTCAACAGAGAGGAGGAAGTTTTTTATGGTACGATTTGTTCTTTTTTCTTTTCTACTACTTATATTTTAGTTTTTTTTTTAATAAATAAAGATATATGTTCATATCTCATTCTACTAGTGATAATTTTGGTCCACTTAGATTTCAATTTGGTTGTGATAGCCTATTAATTAGTTTTATTAGTTTTGCGAATTTGTGTGTGGTTTCTTGTTAGATTCGTAAGTTCTGAGGATCATATATGGGGGATTATAGACATAGGAAGATCGACATTAACAAGTTCAATATGATATCAATCATAAGAACCTACACTGACACTGGAGATGGAAGAAGTTTTAAAAGAGCCGAAATTTTATTCCTTACGAAGATCGTTTTAGTTATATGCATGTCAATAAAAAAAAAAAAAAAACACAGCATTTAACCGGAAATTTACTATAATGAATATTTTTATTATATCGTTATTAAAATTCATACGGAATCTGTAATTATAATATATATTGTAATTCAATAATATTCAAGTCTTTTGTTATAAAAAAGTGTTTTAGGCGATTAATGTTATTTTAGAAAGTCTCACGGATGAACGTTTTTATAAAAGAGTCTTGTGGATTAATTTTTTTCCTAAAATTTTTTTTTTTTTTATGACAAGATTACTTTTTTTTACTTATTGTAACGTGTTTGTTTTTATTACTATTTCTTTTAACTTTTTTAAAATTAATTGACGTTATTTGCTTTACTTGGGCAACAAGGGCTTGAGGGTGCAGTCAATTAGGCGGCTCTTTTGACTTGTTTTTTCCCATTTGATGCGCGGATTAGAATACCGAATTTTATTTGGTTTCCTTTTCCTTTTTTTTTTAAAAGAAAATAATAGGAAGAAACGTTATTTACCTCCTACGGTTTAGGATAGTAATGAAGATAAGTTATTGTTTCTTTAAGCAAAAACGTTATGTGGAATTAAATCATGAAAATAAATCTAGTGAGCAATTAGAATTTTCAGGAAAAGAAAGATATAAAAGAAAAAAAGAAAAAAGTTTGGTTTTACAATTTGATTTAACAAATTACTTTGGTAAAGATATATTGGATAATTACTATATAAAAAAAAGATATAGTGGATAAAATAGATGAGAGATTTTTGTTTCTCCAACAAACAACCGAAATCCAGTCCCAATGCCAACGCAAAAGAATATGCCCTTTATTCCCGTCCAGGTTCAGTTTCAAACCCTTATCCATTTCCGTCGAGTCTTTCGGTAATCCGAGCGAACCTTTTAACTTGCTTTTTTTTTTTTTTTTAAGCTAATAAAAAAAAACCTTTTAACTTGCTTGGAGAGCATTCTTTCACATAATAATCCCCCAAGGCTATTTTCGTCATTTCACACATTCTCCCCTAACTTTATAGTTTATATCAACTTCCTTTTGCCCGGTGCTTTCCTTCGCCTTTCCGTCCTCTCAAGATTCTTTCTTCCCATACATCCATAATACAGAATAATTTAAAAAAAAAAAAAAAAAACGAAAGAAAGAAATTTTTTTTTTATATCTTTCCTTCCCTCCTCTTTTCTCTGAAATAAAAAACCGCCGAAAACCATTTTCCACGAAACCGCCCAATCTCCTTACCACCGAAACGTTTTCCTTCCTCAAAGGATCGATAAAAAGCTGAAGTTTTTTTGATGTATCGATAAAAATCGAAATCGGTTTCGAATTTTGCGGAAATGAAACGGAATTGATCGATTGATGAATTGATTCTATGGCGGAGAGATTAGGGATTGGCAAAGAAGAAAATCGGGCGGAGGAGAAGCGACAGCGATTGTGATCGGACGGCGGGGGAGGAAGTACGGGGTTTTTGTTTTTGGCGGCGGAAAACGACAAGGGGAAGGGTTGCGGAAGGGAGGAAAATGGACTGCCGTGTGCTGGTGGTGGGCGGTGACCCCTGGGCGAGGGGCCAGATCGGCGGCGGACTCAGCCATGAGAGCGAGCATGATTTGGCTCTCATGGTTAGCGATTTCTTGGAGAACGGAAGCTCCGGCGCCGACTCTTGGTGTAGCAGCGACAGCGAGTCAGGCCTCTCCGATCTATCTCACCTCGCCGACAAGATTCCAGTAAGTTCCCGAACCTTCTGCAATTTGATTTTCTTTTTCTTTTTGCTCTTCAATTTGTGGTTTCTGATTTTCGATCGGAACTTTCTCTCGTGGCAAGATTTGTAAGCGTCCGTTAGCGCAATTCGAGAACGAGGTTTTGTCGGTGGTCAATTCTCTGATACTGTCGATCAAGAAGACTGAGCTTCCCGGCGTAAAGTCAGGTGCTTGTAACGGCAGTTGCATCAGGTTCGCTCTGGTGAAGCTTCTGAGGCTCTCTGGTTACGACGCCGGCGTTTGTTCGTCGCGGTGGCAGGGTACCGGCAGGGTTCCCGGAGGTAATTGAAACTTGAATTAATCCTTTGATAATCCTCTAAATTATGATGAAATTGTTGTTTTTTAGTAGCGCTAAACTTTAAATTCAATATCAAATAGTCCTTATTAGTCATTTCTAATATTTCGTGTTAAATTAGGGAGCAACAATTTTAAGAATTAAGACTGTAATTCTTGAATTGCAACTTTTAGGTTTGATGAGATTTTATTTGGAACCAATTGGGCAAGTTTTTGAAGTTATTTGGAATAGTTTTAGTTTCTCTTCGAGATTGGGAAATGAGATTTTTGAGGTTTTGTTATGCAGGGGATCATGAATACATTGATGTGGTTAGCCACGGTCATACAGGGAGCTTGGAGCGTTTAATAGTCGACATTGATTTCAAAAGCCATTTTGAAATAGCCAGAGCGGTCGATTCATACGACAGGATATTGAATTCTCTGCCGGCTGTTTATGTGGGCTCGTTAGCCAGGCTGAGTCAGTTTCTCCAGGTAATGGCTGAGGCTGCTAGATTTTCCCTTAAGCAGAACTCCATGCCTCTTCCGCCATGGCGATCACTCGCCTATTTGCAGGCGAAATGGCAGTCGCCTTACCAAAGACAGCTATACCCTGATGAGAAGGGCATGAATAGAGCCAACTCTTTTGACCACAAGCAATGTAATGGCCATTTGAAGAGGCTTCAGTCTCTACTTCAAGCTGAAATCGAAACGGAGAGACTCTTGAAGCCCATTAAAAGCGAGAACGGTTGGAGACGGAAGCCTGAGAGAATAAGGCATTATCTTTATGAGAAGATTCCTTGAGATGTATAGATTTTTGCCCGGCTTTTTTGATTGAAAGAGTTGCTTTTGTGAGAGACCATTTATTGCGGCTTATTGAGATTCTTTTTGCTATCCCCACAGGGAATACTAAAATAAGTGAACCAGAATGAAGAGCAGGTTCATGTGGCCAATACCAATAGCTATGGCGGAGAGAGGAATTTTTTTTTTCGGCTTTTCTTTCATCGGGAAATTATATACTGGTTTTGTGTTTTCATTTTGTTATCTGCATCGTGTATCGTTTTGTAGATTTTTATTTGTTTTGGATATCCTCTTATATGTATTATTCCTTGCCTCTGTATATTTGTGGGCATAGGAAATTTTGTCCTCTTATTGTTATTGGTTCTTGGTATTATTTATTTATTTATTTATACATATATCCTCATGTCTCTCCCTTTTGAAAGTTGGTCTATTTTCCAATCTGTCAGAACTATGGGTTTTGCTTGGATACAGCATTTATATAGTCGGAATAATTGGAGAGAGATGGGGTTTGTAGTTATAGCTGTCTTGTGTTGTTTTTCTCATCCCTTTATGTTTTACATATATTATCACAACATGCATGTTTGGGTGTTCTGAATACAGCTTGCACCCTACAAATTACAGTCATTTTCATCCATTGGGAAGAAGATCCAGTGTCTTTCTTTTGGCCTTTTTGAGCAGTAAATCAATTAAAATTTATATAAACTCCAGTGAGAAAAATACTTGAGTAATGAAATTATTATATTATTGGCTAACATTGATGTTTGTCGATCGCTGGGGTAGAACAGTGATGCGATAGGTGGAGCACAAGGGCAAGTGGCGCAACATTCAAGAGATCCACTGATTCTACCAAGTGGTCCGGTGACAAGGCAAACACATGGAGGTCCAAAACAAGTCTAAATCCAGATGAAGAAGAACCTAGTCACCTCAAATTGACCGAATTGGGCCTAGGGGAATGATTGTGACCGAATTGGTCTTGGATTTGTATAGGGTCCGAATTGGACTTAGAATAGAATAGGGATTAGCCGAGTTTGGGCTTGGTTTAGATAATTAGATGTTTTAGTTTTTCATTAGGTTTAAAAATCGCATCCTATATAAATAGGGTGGTTGAAACTCGTTTTTATTAATTAATGAATTATTATTGATATTGAGGTTTCTCATATTCGTGCTTCTTGGTTCTTGAGAAGACTTTGAACTTATCAAGTATTGTTCTTGTGGCGTTCAAACAATCGGACTTATTATTGAGATTAACGGGTGTTTCTTGATAATCTTGGTGTGACATTCTTCAACTTTCGTAGTTCTTGATTCGTGTCTTGATAGACAACGAGTTAAGGCTCAACAATCTTGCGTCTTGAAGATCTTGGGGTTGTGATCCGCGTGTGGTGTTGGGTCGTCGCGTCGTTGGCGAGGTTCATATCAGTTGGTATCAGAGCTTTGGTTCCAAGGCAAGTTTGACTATCTTTAATCGTTTTCCTAGGGTCTTAGGGTTTCAATTCGAGTTATTCCTTTTGTTCTTGCTTTGCTTTGGAATTTTTTAATTATTCAAAAAAAAAAAAGATTCAGGTTTCTAGGGTTATTTTCTTTGTTGAGGTCAAATTTTATATTCTAAAAAAAAAAAAGGAATCGGAATTCTTAGGGTTCTTGAGGCCGAATTTAAGATATAGCCTCTAAATCCTTCATTCCTTTGTTGCTATCCTTTGGCCGAAATTAGGATAGAGCTTTTCCTAAACCTAGTTGGAATTCAATTAGGTTTTCCTTCCTTGTTGCTATCCTTTGGCCGAAAACTTCATAAGGGAGTTCGAGTTTCAATCAAATTCGACCTAGGTTCTTTTATTAGCCAAACTTTGTGATTAAAAAAAAAAATCTGAGAAAAAAAAAATTCAGAGTACTGTGCCTTAAAACAGCCATAACTTTTGATCTAGAGATCGTTACGGGACGTATAATATATCAAATCGAAGATCTTTTCGAGCCCTACAATCTTCATTGGGGCAGAGCCCGTTGACCCTATTTTTGGGGCCAAAAATCACTTATTTTCATTAGTTTTGGAGCCTTTTAATTTTACTGGTTTGTTTGGTTGACAATAACTTGATTGTTACTTGAAAAGCTTGAGTGTTTTTGAGTCCGATTAAGAACTGAAGAAGACACAACGAGTGGAAGAGAGAAAGGCAAGAGTGGTGAAAACATTGGAGGGTAAAAGCCATTGAGTGACAAACATGAGTGTAAAAAAAAATACACATCAGGAGTGAAACACGTGAGGGAGTGCTTGTGAGGTTTCTAACTTTGTTTTGCAGATTTTAATCATATCTCACAACCAAGGCGAACATTAAACCGAAGAGGTTCAACAAGAAGCCAATCCTCCTACACAACATCCGAATCTACAAATGCAAGCATTGATATGGGAGATGAGGCGAATGATGAAGGTGAAATTAGAACAACTTCATGAGAGGATGGATAAGCTAAAAGAAGGAGTGCAACAAAATAATCCCATTAGGCAGCCACCTAGGCGTGTGCCAACCGGGGATTGATGGGATGAGTTTGAGGATGAAGAGGAGCTTGAGGATCCACCAATGAACCAGGATAGGTTTGGGAAAGGGAATATAGAAGCTAGGATAGGTAGACCTAGGCGAGATGATGATTTGGGAAGCATTAAGGTGAAGATTCCATCCTTCCAAGGGAAGAGTGATCCCGAGGTGTATCTTGAGTAGGAGAAATGTATGGAGATAGTCTTTGATTGTCATAACTACTCGGAGCTCAAAAAGGTAAAACTCGTTGCAGTTGAATTCACCGCTTATGCTATCGTTTGGTGGGACCAATTGTTGCAGGATAGGAGAAGAAACCGAGAACGATCCATCGAGACATGGGACGAGATGAAGACCATCATGAGGCGGCGGTTTAACAAATTGCAACGCCTAACTCAAGGTTCTAAGAGCGTAGACGATTACTACAAAGAGATGGAGATTGCAGTGATCCGTGCAAATGTGGAGGAGGACCGTGAAGCAACCATGGCGAGGTTCTTGCATGGTCTAAATCGTGAGATAGGGGATGTAGTTGAGATGCAACATTATGTGGAGCTAACGGATATGGTGCACCAAGCCATCAAAGTGGAGCAACAGTTGAAAAGAAAGAACATGGCTAGGAGGGGAATGAATGTGGCTGCCACAAACTCATGGGAACCAACCCCTAAATGGGATGAGTTTCCTATGCCAAGACCTAAACGGATATGGTGCACCAAGCCATCAAAGACGCAAGATTGTTGAGCCTTAACCCGTTGTCTATCAAGACGTGAATCAAGAACTACGAAGGTTGAAGAACGCCACACCAAGATTATCAAGAAACACCCGTTAATCTCAATGATAAGTCCGATTGTTTGAACGCCACAAGAACAATACTTGATAAGTTCAAAGTCTTCTCAAGAACCAAGAAGCACGAATATGAGAAACCTTAATATCAATAATAATTCATTAATTAATAAAAACGAGTTTTAACCACCCTATTTATATAGGATGCGATTTTTAAACCTAATGAAAAACTAATCTAATTATCTAAACTAAGCCCAAACTCGGCTAATCCTTATTCTATTCTAAGTCCAATTCGGACCCTATACAAATCCAAGGCCAATTCGGCCACAATCATTCCCCTAGGCCCAATTCGGCCAATTTAAGGTGACTAGGTTCTTCTTCATCTAGATTTGGACTTGTTTTGGGCCTCCATGTGTTTGCGTTGTCACCGGACCACTTGGTAGACTCAGTGGATCTCTTGGATGTTGCACCACTTGCCCTTGTTCTCCACCTATCGCATCATTCTCTCTCTCTTGAAAAGGATTTGTCCTCAAATCGTCACTCTTTGGAATTGATGCACTAGGTATGAAGTCACTTTGATGTTCAAGTTCCTGAATTGGAGGTAAGTCAGGAGGCATCTCTTCTGGGATTACATCCACGAACTCCTGCAAGAAAGAAACAACATTGCTCGGCAAAGAACCGACATGATCGTTAGTATTCAAAAGAGTCTCCTTGTGCGTGAGCACTATAAGGGGTTGGTGTGATAGTAAAGCTCTCTTAAGTCCCCAAGGGGCTGGTGTGAGCCTCCTTGGGATTGTGATCCGCGTGTGGTGTTGGGTCTCGTCGCGTCGTTGGCGAGGTTCATATCAAACAGTCCTATAACAACCTCAATTTTTAAATGTTTTATTTAACAAAATTAAGGTTTTGAGTGGCATTTTAATTGAGATTTGAGCAGGATATTTTTTTTTTCTTTTATGAATTTTCAGTAAAAAATTTTCGCTTACAGTATAATCCTTCCGTATTTTAATTCACTGGTAAAATTATTATGAAAGCTTGTAATTTCCTTTGGGAAAAGAAAAATTTTACTTGAGAGTAATTCAATTATTGGGCTTGTCTTACATTCTTATTAATAAAAAATTTATAGTACATGAGTCTAAATTTTTACTTTTTATTCTCAATAAATATTATTTTATTAATATAATAATAATTTTGACGTACACTTATAAAATATTTAATTACTCTTCCTAATAGTTTTGTGTTGGACCTTACCTTAAAATTTTGTGGGCCCTAACACATAAAGAGAGCCCTAGCCCAACTCCTCCTCCTCATTTTTTTTTTTGCTGCAGCCGTCACCCCAAAGAACTATGGGTGTGTTTGGTTGAAAGTAATGGAATGAAAAGGAAATGCTATTCCATCCGGTTCTATCATTTGGTTCCATTTTTACCTTCAGAAAGGCTTTCCGTTGGAAAGCCCATTCACTCAATTTGAGTGAATCGCGATTCACTCGAGGGGGCGTAGGAAAGGCCTTTCCATTCATGCGTTACCACATTTTTGTCGAAAATCTCCCCGATTGAGAGAGAGAAAGCCCTAGCCCCCTTTACTCCCTCGACCATTTCGTTCGTATCGAGCTCCACCGGATCTCCTCAGGCGGCCGCTCCTCTCCTTCGCTCTTCCTTTTCTTACTTACTCCAAATCTTTGCGTGTCCTTTTCCTTTCAATCTCCTCTTCTGATTCGGATTTCCGACCGAAAGGAAGAGGTTCGCGAGGTTCCGAGGCTAAAATTGGCCACGGAAGAAGAGCCACAAAACGGCGATGTCGAAGAAGAAGAGCTTCTCTGCAATATCGAGCTTCCATTGAAGTCCAGCAATATCAAGAAGAAGAGCTTCTCAACAATACCCTATGACTCCCACTTCCTTCGACGTCTCCGATGCCTTTGACCCCGATTTCCCCATTATCTACGTCAACAAAGTCTTCGAGATCTTCACCGGCTACTGCGCCGACGAGGTCCTCGGCCGAAACTGGTACCGATTGTCTCAACCCTTTCCCTCCTTAATCTGTTTGTTTCCTGAGAAAATAGCAACGAAAAGTGTTGGAAATTTTGTTTCTTTTTGGTTTTAATG